ACAGAACCCACACCCTCCCCGCGGCTTTCGTTGCGTATGGAAGTTATTTTTACGAGTGATGCGGTGTATCCTGCGGCCGTACAGCAGAATACACCGCATCTCGATCTTGTAGTTTATGTTGATTAGTGGCATGAGACCTTCAGGGTTTATACAGCTCCAGGTGGTCAATATAGTATATTGTATATTCCATATGATGTACAATGAATATGTCAAAAATGTTGCTGAACGATTTGAACCGGATAAAATAGCAGGCGAAAATGTATTTACATGCATGCATGCACACACTGAAGCAAAATTACTATTTACCGCTTTCAGACTACTGTCCGAACGAATCTAATACAATATCACAATTCAAATGTGAATTATGCATGTATCAATGAATAGCACTTATATTTCATTTTATTGAAACTTACATTTATATATATATTACAAATACATAGGCCATTGAATAAAACAATCCTATTGCTGAACACAGAACTAGCCTCCCAAAACAACCAGATTTGCACATGAAACCCACACTTTGTTGAAATCCAATAAGCAGTTATCTAATGGGACTGCAAATTAGCTAAACAATAAACTAAAAATACCCCCCAAAATAACTCCATGGTACCAATAAAAATTATAACAATAATATGCAAAATAGTTACTTAATATGCATAGATGTGATATTAAAACTAATCATGTCAATATATTACCTAGAGCAGCACTGGAGTTTTTAGATTTTGCTTGAAATTAATTAATTAAATAAGTCTTTACACCATTATAGAAGTATCTGTAAAGTGTGTTGTACAATGAACTTGATAACTCACAAAGGCAGTGTAATACAATTATTTGTTACTTTTGTTTTACTTGTGCCACAGTGGCTCCTTTGTGTTTGTGACCTGTCAGATATTAAGTTCTTTAAGACAATATATTTAGTCATTGGATGAATTGAATTTGAAGACGAATTTTCAATCTTTCAGAAACAATAATTCATGTAATATATCAGTTTAATTTATCATATAAACAAAAATAACTAAAAACAATCATACATGCAGCTTTCCTAGTGATGTAAAACCCATAAAGGTTTGTTTGTCATATATCATTACTTTTTTGGTAATTATAACTTAGATTTGCCATCTCTAAGACCAGGCATGTATGGGTTATAATTCTTCTGA